GATGCCTACTGAAGTCAATGTAAAGGCTCTCATTGATTTCAGTGGATGTTGGATCAAGCCCAAAGCTAGAATTTTTGGGTTTACAGCTCAATGTCCTGATTAGGGTGACCATACGTCCCATTTTGGCTGGGACAGTCCCTTTTTAAGCCCTGTCCCAACTTTTTTGGCATTTGTCCCATTTGTTCTTGCTGATTTGATCAGTTGGCAAGAGCAAATGGGACAAATGCCCACTTTTGTCAAAAATGTGGGGTGTGGTGCAGAGGAACATGTGGGGGTGGGGAGAGAGAGTGGAGATGCTAGCCCTGTGCAGGGTGGAAGAGGCAGTGTTCCAGCATGCAGAGTAGGGGGGGCAGCACTCAAGCCAACAGCTGTGGGTGTCCTGTTTTCCCTTTGGGAAATATGTTCACCCTAGTCCTGATCATAGAATATCAGGGCTGGAAGGGACCTCAGGAGATCATCTAGTCCAACCCCCTGCTCAAAGCAGGACCAATCCCCAAACAGATTTTTGTCCCAGATCCCTAAATGGCCCCCTCAAGGATGAACTCACAACCCTGGAGTTAGTAGGCCAATGCTCAAACCACTGAGCTATCCCTTTCACTTCAATGTCTTGTGTCAGACACAGGTGGTTAAGCCTGTACAGATTTCCCAGCTTAACTTCAAAACTTATTCTTCATTAATGTTACTAAACTGAAAACACTAACTGACCTCTGACATCCTTAATTGTGTAACATATAGCATAGTGGTAACCATTTATTGTGTATAACTGCAGTACACAATTCAAAGAACGGAGAATTTTTGTCAAAGTAATATGATGCATTTCTTAAAGGGAAGGTGCAAAATATTTACATGTCTTCATCACAGATGAAGTGCTAAATCCTGCCCACCTTACTAGCGTGAGTTGTCTAGCTGAAGTAAATAATATACAATGAAGTTAATGGGACAACTCTCTTCAATAAAGGAAGCAGGATTTGGCTCAAAGTATAAACCAAGAAAGTCTACACTGGTCTTAGATTGTTAGAAGGCTCTGGGGTACTAATGGTTGGAGGGAAACAGTGCTTGGCAATAGAACTGCAGAGGAAGGCTAGAGCTATATTAACTGGTTAATGTACAGAGCAAGCTGTACTATGCATGCAGAAGACACAGTCACCTAAGCCAATGGAACAGGAGAGACAAGTAGTTTTGTGGCTGTTTAGTATATGAGTGACAATGATCTGTGAGTGGTGAACACTTCAAAATTTTTCTAGGGAAGCAAAATCTTTTGAGCTAGCACTGTCTGCAAAATGCATTGGAAGAGGACATGTCTCCACAGCTAAAAGGAGATGCCCTGTTAATCTTAAATATAACATTTTTATAAGACTATAAAAGTCAGAAAGACTAATGAGTGATATTATAGGAGATGTACCATAGCCAAGCAAAGGTGCATTTACCCATTACTTATTGCACATGCAAGTACAAAATATAGAGCATAAACAGACACAGGGTCTGATTCACCTCGTCCTTGCTCATGGTGTAGTTATTTCCACATGTACAAAGTAGCTGTGCAAAATGGAATGCTTCCATTCTGATCTGGTAACCCCCAGGATTCTTAACTAGAGAGTCCCCAACATGGGAGGACTCTAGCCATAGAAACTTCTCCCAGACAATAGCTCTCCTGACTTTCTGTGGTCATAGAGATGTCACTGGCTGACACTGGACTGAGTGATGTAGGGGGTCAATGTAGTCATAGCTTTGTGGCTGTGGGCATGTTGGAAACTGCATCTTAGGCAGGGATAAGGAGGGGAAAGCTCTGAAGAAGATGGAGTGGGGCATGCGGAGGTCAAAGGAGGTGAGAGCAATGGGAACAAGAGAAAGCAGGGGAGCCAGAAAGGTGATCGGAAAATCTGAAGGGGGAGGATGTAAGAAGGAGAAGGTGTGGGGGACACTCAAGGGGGAACCAGATCAGGGGAAATAGGAGAGTTGGGACAAGAGAATAAAGGAGAAACTTGAGGGGGGAGGTGATGGGTTTGACATGGAGAATGTCAAATGCTACAGGGGCAAGGAAGTGAGGGATTTGATGGCAAGAGATTTATGTAAATGAAGCAATGCATATTCACTGAATACATAAAATGGGGCATAACATCTCTAGCTTTCCATACTCACAGCCTTCTTGAGTAAGCAAAGTTTAGCATGCTGCCTAGACATACAGGGTAAATTTACACTGCAATAAAAGACCTGCAGCACAGCTGTGGCTAGCTCAGGTCAACTGACTTGGACTCATAGGGCTAAGGCTACATGGCTAAAAATTGCAGTGTAGATATTTGGGCTCAGGCTGGAGCCCAGGTTCTGAAACCCTGTGAGAGGGGAGGGTCTGAGACCCTGGTCTCCAGCCCGAGCCCAAACATCTACATGGCAATTTTTAGCACTGCAGCCCAAGCCCCACAAGCCTGAGCCACTGACCCAGGTTCTGAGAATAGGTGTGGTGACCTTTTTATAGCAGTGTAGATGTACCCACAGAGCTCTTCAGCTGACTCACCTTGGTGGCAGATTCTAAGACTCCACATAAAAATGCTATTTTGCTGAGTCTTGCAGCAATTAATCAGGCAGGTTCCATTAATGCCAACGCAGGATACAAAATGGGTTTCAGCCACTCTCAGGGAGAATGAGGGGTAAGGATATTGGCAAAGTAGTGATGTTGGTGTTGCACAGGAAACAGCCGTTGAAACAGCCACACTCTGGCAGAAAGTTTGTGTGTATATACTGTTATTTGACACAGGTGCCAAATAAGGATGCATTCTCTCACCTCTGTTTGGCATTGCCATTGACAACACTGTCAGAAAAAGTGTAGATGGATAAAACATAGACCTCACATGGCTCAACAACAGTACACTAGGAGATCTAGATTTTGCTGACAACATAGCTTGTCTAAGTGACATCTCAACCAACATGCAAGTAAAGATTGAAAGACTATCCCAGCATCAAAAAAAAGATGTGATCAATAATTAGTTATGAGAGACAAATCTGATGAGGACCCCTGCTAACTCCCAACTCAAACATTATTTTAGAGGGCACAGGCATACAAGAGAGACAATTCAGGTACCCAGTAAATTGCAGTAATGCGCAAAGCAATGGGGGTGTTCAGAAAGAAATAATGTCACAAACTGACAAGATGGCAATTGTATTTACCAGCTTAAACTAGATTTGGTCATCTACAATCAACGAACTATGAATCTTCTACTCAAATGTTGTTTCCATCTTGACATATGGATGTGAAAGCTGGAAATCCTAAAGGTAGACTGATGCCTAAATCCCTTTGAAGGCAAAATAGTATGTGTTATATGGAATGAATTTATAAGTAATGCTGAAGTTCATCAGAGAGTTCAACCACTCCTTAGCTCTAAGATTATCCAGAAAAGAAAATGGTAATATTAGGGACATATGTTAAGAATGAAGCCAGAGCATCTGCCATGGCACAGAGGGGCTGACCAGAAGAATCCCTCCATCAAACACCATTTAGAGAGAGAAATCTTATTGGACTTCACAACATAGAGGCCACGTGAAGAGCAGCCAAGGACAGATGAATGATGGAGCCTTGTTTGTGCCCTAAGTGAGGTCTGACGTTGCAGGAAGGAGTCAGATTGTTATTTAAGTTAACAGTAAAGGAAATCTCAAGAAAGGGGTTAATTTGGATGCTAATCAGTGTGTCCTTTGCCTTTTGCTTCCCTCCCCACAAACATAAACTACTCTTGTCAGTTAAGATCATGCCACTATACACAGTGACAGACTTAGCATTTTGAGTCAGTGAGATGATTCTTTGGGGAACCTTTACCCATAACTGAGTCATTTTATATAGAAGTGGGGCACGGAATCTTCATTCCATCACCAGTCCAGCCTCCCATAACAGCCAGGAAAGAGCTTTTCAAGGAACAATTTGCCAGATAAGCTGAAATGTGAGGGATGCCAGTTCCTCAGCCACAAGAGTTGCTTGTGTGCATTGTGGCAGCTTTAAATATTAGCTAATTAATTAATAATTCCACCATAAATTAGGTAGGTATTACTGACAATTTTAGAGAGAGAGACCTTGAAGCACATAGGTAATATGTCAGTGATTAACTATGACAGGTAATAGGATAATTTATTCAAGTAACAACAAAAAATAATATGTAAAGTAAATCTAGTACAGATGCTACCGGAATGTAGCTTGGCTGTATTCTCTTTCTCGATCTCTACAACTATGGTGTATGTCTGCCACTGTGTATTAACACGAAACGTGGCACTGCATAATACCATCCAGGTGGTATGACAACTTTCCACTTCCAATTGAAGCTTAATCCTTTCTAGCACAAAAAGGACATGGCAATTTTCTACTTACCGTTGTTAAAACTAACACTCAACGTTCCTGTAACTAAATAATAATAATTTATCTCGTTTCTAATCCTTTGTTTATTTTACACATTTGACAAGAGTCTGTGGTGGCCTTGCTACCATCAGCAACAGTCTTGGTGACCAGGGCCGGCTCTGGCTTTTTTGCCACCCCAGGCAAAAAAGCCTCCCGCTGCCCCCCGCCCCCTGGCGGGGAGCGCGGCAGGGGAGGGCGCCGAGCCCGGCCATGGCCCCGCTCTCCCCAGGTGAGCGCCGCCCCAAGCACATGCTTGGAGGGCTGGTGCCTGGAGCCGGCCCTGTTGGTGACACCACCCCCACAGCCACATTTTGTGCTGGGTTCCCTTAACCCCCAAAATGAGTGATTGAAGGCTGTGATGCAGACTATGTGGTCTTCAGTGAAAGCCACTCCATGCACATTCAGGCCCAGTCTTTAGCATTTTCGAGGGTTTTTTTCTGCAAGGAAAAGAAAGGGAATTCCCCTCCCCCCCCTTGCTCTACAAGGGGCTGTCCATAAATCACATAACACATTTTTTGGTGATTTTCCAGACCTACCCATCCCCTTGTAGCACTGAAACAAAAAGCAAAATTAAGAAATTAAGCCCCCTCCCTCTTAATGGTTAACAATTTATGGTCAGCCCCAACCATGGAAAGCCTGAGATTCAGCCGAGGTCTCTAAGGGCAGGGTTTGCGGGAGGCAGGATTGTGCGGGGCGCGGTGGCAGTGTTCCCCAGTGCACCTGGCAGAGACGAGCCCCAGGAGCTGCTGCAGTCCCAGCCCAGCCACTCTGGCAGGGACCGGGGAGGAGGGAGCTGATCGGCGGGAGCTCCCGAAGCTCCCAGCGCCGCAGCGCGGATCCGGGGGAAGATGGCAGCCGCCGCAGAAGCCATCGCCTTGCGCCTGGCCCGGCAGGAGGAGGAGATCCGCTGGTTAACAGCCGAGATCGGCCGCCTGAAGGAGCCGGAGCCGGAGCGCGGCCCGGGAAGCAGCAGCCCGGAGCTGCACAGGCTGAGGGCGGAGAACGAGAAGCTGCGCTACCGGCTCCTGCACCTTCGGCGCAGCCTGACAGCTGAGCTGGGCCGCGGGGAGCAGCGACGGCCGGGCCCCGCAGGAGCCAGCAAGGTAGCGCGGGGAGGGAGAGGCAGACCCCGAGCCTGCCCCGTGCTTAGCCCTGGGTGCCGGGCAGGGGAGCGTGGTGGAACCGATGGGGCTGGCGGCCGTGGGGCGGGGCAGCCCATGGGGCTGGGCGGCCGTGGGGCAGGCGGCCTTGCGGTTGTCCATCTGTCGTGGGCGGCCTGTGGGGCAGGGCGGTCTGGCAGCTGTGGGGGCTCAGTGACATGAACACCAGCAACTATCACGCCGTTTCCCAAGACTCTTTAAAATTTCCCTTGTTTTAATTTGGGTCACTTTAAGGTCCCCCCAAGAGATCAACTTTTTCTTTTGACAAGTGCTGAAATGCTGGCGTGGCCATTATGTGGAGGTGGAGAGTAGCTCCCTGAACCTGCACTGAACATGGGTCGGTGCCAGGAACTTTTTTTTTTTTAAATGAACTAATATTTGCTTAGTGTTTGTGGTTTGTTCTGTGCTTTGAAAACGTGAGGTGCTATACAGGTGCTAAGTATCATTGTTCAGCAAACTGGTGTAGTGCCTTGCTGGATTAGGGCAAACTGTCTGCTACTCAATCCAGGTAGAATTGGGGTTATTTGGTAGGTTGGAGGAACATACTAGAAGAAGTGGCAGATGTTGATACAAGCTGCATCCATAAGGAGAGTTTACCTGCCTTTTGTTCAGGTTCACAATTTGTATGTCCTATTAGCTGCCCTGCATGATCCTACATCCTCAGGTAGCAGTAGTTGCCAATTATTGGTGATACTGGAGTCAGTGACTTCTTTAGGATAAGGACCTTGCCATAGTGATTCACATTTCTGTGATTTTGAGACTGTTATTGCAAACATGTTCTTCATGCACTTATCCTTTATGATCACTCAAACTTCAGCAGGGACAGACTGTAGCAATCCATTTGTGTTGTTGCAGAGAGCAGATTACACAGGAGCTCAAATAGCTGTACTAGCTCTCAATGAATTTCCAGATGGAATTGAAATATAGAGCCTTAAATGGGTTACAACCTAGTTACCTCATTGATATCCTTCTCTCTTTATGATTAAGTGATCATATTAAGTGTCAAGAGGCCTCTGCTGACATCAGAGCTTTGCTGTCCAAACATGTAGTAATAGACTATGCTCATTCCCAAAGGGTTTACAGTCTAAAACAGACTAGAGGGTGGGAGGGAAACTAGATGCAGGGAGGTGAAATTACTAGCTCAAGGTCACAGAGCAAGTCAGTAGCAGAACTGGAAATAAAACCCTTGTCCTGAGTGTAAGTCCATTACCTTATATTCTGGACCACAGTACCTCTCTATAGTCAGCTTGTTTTCAGTGTGGTCTGAGTTTGGAACTGGTTTCTTTTGTTCTCTCACCAAAGCCTGATTTTGTTGCTCTTCAGACTTTTTTGTTCTCCAGTCTTTTTCTGGTGAGGATTTTGTTGATATGTTGTAGCAGTGAGAAAATTCCAGAGGATTTGGAAAGATTCTATCTCTTGGACACTGGGCCTGTTATTTTCCTGGGGCAGTGGACATACAACCAGAACATTGTATAGACAGGCACAGTTTTTATTTATTTGTTACAAAATGTCTTTCAATTTCTTCTGATAGGCTACACCCCATGACTTCTTTAGCCCATCATCAGACTATGTCCCTTTTCTGAATATTCTTTCATTGCTGTATATCTATCTAAATCACGTGCCTGCTATGTATTGTCCCAGTAAACATAGTGGTATAACTTTTTTTTTTTTTTTTTTTTTTAAGAATACCTCCAATGCAGGCCTGACTGCCCAAAATAAGAAGAAAAAGGAGAAGAAAAAAGAAAACGAAGTTGTGAATGGGCTTAGGAATGAGGTAAGCAGATATTTTATAGTGCACAAAAGAAGAGTCTTTGCTAGGTTCAGAGCCGGTCCTCCCCTTTGTCACATCTTGTGCCTCATCAGTAAGGCTGCGAGTCTGTCACGGATTCCATGACTTCTGCAGCGGCTAGTGCTGGCTCAGGGGAGAGAGAATTCTAGCAACTGGCTAAGACTTGCACACATTCTTAATTTTACACACTCACTAGTCCAGAGGAGGGCAAACTACGGCCCGCGGGCTGGATCCCACCCATCAGGATTGCCAGCCCCGAGGCGCAGCGAGGCAAAGGCAGGCTCCCTGCCTGCCCTGGCCCTGCGCCATTCCTGGAAGCGGCTGGCACCACGTCCCTGTGGCTCCTGGGGGTGGGGGAGGCAGAAAGCTCCGTGCACTGCCCTCGCCTGCAGGCACCGCCCCCACTGCAGCTCACATTGGCTGGGAACAGGGAACCGCATCCAATGGGAGCTTCGGGGGTGGTACCCACAGGCAAGGGTAGCGCGCAACAGAGCTGCCTGCCCCACCCCGCCCCACCCCCTGGAGCCACTGCTGGACATGCTGGCCATTTCCGGGAGCGGCATGGGACCAGGGCAGGCAAGGAGCCTGCCTTAGCCCCTCTGTGCACCACTGCCACCCCAGAGCCGCTCGAGGTAAGTGGTGCCGGGCTGCACCCTGCACCCTGATCCCCTCCTGCACCCCCAACCTCCTGTCCTGAGCCCCTGGCCGCACCCTGCACCCCAACCCTCTGTCCTGAGCCCCTTCCTGCACACCACACCCCCTCCCGCACCCCATGCTCCATCCCACACCCAATCCCCTGCCCCAGCCTTGCATACAATTTCCCCACCCAGATGTGGCCCTCAGGCCAAAAAGTTTGCCCACTGCTGCACTAGTCCCATTGAATTCAGTAGTATTGCTTACAGTGTATAAAGTTAAGCATGTACAAAGCTGTTATTTTCAAGATAAGGGTTGAAGTGCATATTCTTGTCAATATTGACCAAGAGTCAGAAAGGTTTCATCAGCTATAAGTGTGGCAAGGGGATTTCGGCAGCTGTGAGTGATACTGTGGGGGAGTGGTATTTGGTGAGCAAAAATACAGGGGAATGCTTAGTGGGGGTGCTGACAGAGACCCCCCCACCCCTCCAGGATAGCCTTGGTGAGGGTTGGATTTTAGAATATTTCAATATTAATCTGTGTAACAAACTTGAAAATGGCCATGATAGTTATTACAACCTGACACTTTGGGGGTTGGAAGTGTTTATGAATGTACTTATGTATTTATTTATATTTCAGAAGCAGCTGGAGACACCAACAAAGATCAGATGTTGTATAAACATATAGTAAATTAACCTCCCATTTGTGTTCTCTTTTAAAAATAGTTTTGTGACTGCTGTGTGTGATTCTTACAGCTGCAGTGTGAGCCAAGCTTCATAGACGACAGGCTGAAGCATTATGAAACACTGAAAAAAGAGCATGATGCCTTGCTTGCTTACAGAGCAGCCAACCAGAGCAAGCCTATAAAAGTGATTCTGACTGATGGTAAAGTCATTGAAGGGGAATCTTGGCAAACGACACCATATCAGTTGGCTGCAGGAATTAGGTAAACTGCAGGTGTAAATGTGTTTTAATAAATGGTGGTTTTGTTTATTTTTCCCCTCCCCCCTCCTTTGGAGCTAGTTGATGATATAGGTTCACTGAGTGGATGATTGACTTTTTTTAATATTTGCTTTGCCTTGCTTTCATTGTGGAAGCATTGATACAGGTCTTGGACTTAATGCAGAAATCACTGGGTGTGGTTCTTTGGCCTTTGTTTTACAGGAGGTCAGACAAGATCATCATAATGGTTTCTTCTAGCTTTAAAATCCAATGGAACTGTCAGCAATTAACTCTGACTTGAAATTCAATCCTAATTAATGATAGAATATGGGATTATTATTCAGTAAGCAGAGTTCTCATCCTCCCTTAACCTCCAAATCCTTCCTTCAGGAGAGAGTAAGTCGTCATATGGTTTACAGTCTGTAACTCAAAAGTGAACCGGGTTTGAAAATGTTTTAAAAGTCTATAGAGGCCAAAGGGCCAGATTTTGAAGGTTATTCAGGTGCCTAAAAATGTAGACAAGTGCCTAGTAGGATTTTCAGGAACACCTGGGCACCTAAATGCCTTTTAAAAAAATGGCCCAAAATGCCTTTGATACGCATGTTATTACTTTTATTTGTTAGTCGAGGACTGGCTGATAATGCAGTAATCGCCACAGTGAATGGTGAATTGTGGGATCTGGATCGTCCATTGGAGGGAGATTGTTCACTGGAGCTGCTTACATTTGATAATGAAGAAGCTCAGGCAGTAAGTAAACGGTCTCTTGATTTTACTTGATTAAAGAAACTAATATCTTGAAAAGAAATTTCCCTTTTATTATCTTGATTTTCTTTTTTAATAAAAATCCTGAACATTAGTAGTCCTCGGTATAGTTCAATATATTGTATACAACAAAATTATTGTTAAATGATTAGTCAAGTGACAAATAATTGTGACTTAACCAGGTATATTTCATATATATTATATATCTGTTATTTCAAAAGGGAATTTATGGATAAACACACATTTTTTGGACTCCTTTCTTTCCTCCTCTTTTAGCTAATGTATAGAAGTTGACTGAAAACAAAACAAAAACTACCTAGATTTGTATGTTCAGTTAAAAGCAGTTTGGTATTTTAAAAATGCCTCTAATATATGTTGTGGATGAAGCATCTAAGGGTTTGACCCTGGGAGAACAGTGGTAGTTAAGGTTGCTCAACATCTCAAAAGATCAGGTCCTAAATGTGTTAACATGTGGGGCATCTTAAGCTTTATACAGAAATCTCATCCTGATACAGAATTTGATCTATGAATAAAATATGACTGCTTGAGCCTGCAACACTTCAGTAACTTCAGGCATGTGTGTATCTCACTCAGTGGAACTATGTGTGTGCATAAAGTTATGTGCCCAAGTTATTGTGGGGCCCCAATTCTGCAAAGATTTAGGAATGTGCTTAACTTTATGCACTGTGAATAGACTCATTGATTACCATATAGGACTAATCACAGTGCATAAAGGTAAGTCCGTGAATAAGTCTTTGTAGGATTGAAGCCTAAATTCAAAGCAGTTCAAAAGCTAAAAAACTTGTCATTGTGTAAGTGTCTCTATCAAATGTCCTCAGATACTGCGCATAACGGCATTTATAATAGTAAGACTGCTGTGTATGTGATCATTATTTGGGTATAAATTAAAGTTTAGCTGGCCAGAAATCAGCCTATTTATAAATGAACAAAACACAAGATTGTTGTGGCCAGGGCCAGGGCCAGCTCCAGCGTTTTTGCTGCCCCAAGCGGCTCTACCACCACCGCTTCAGTCTTCGGCGGCAATTCTGCGGAAGGTCCTTCCCCCCAAGAGGGACTGAGGGACCCTCCGCCGAATTGCTGCCGAAGAGCCGGACATGCTGCCCCTTTCCGTTGGCCGCCCCAAGCACCTGCTTGCTGCGCTGGTGCCTGGAGCCGGCACTGGTTGTGGCTGAATCACACCAGAGGTCTAATCTCTAAGCAAATTAGAATAAAACAGGGCCACAATGGTACAACTACTATCACGTTGTTAAACCAGCATTTATCAGATACAATTATTTGAATCTACATTAATCATCTAACACAGTAGAAATAAAGACAGAAACAGCATTTCCTGCTTAGAATTTAAATATCGTGGCTTCATCTCAACACTTTTCTTCAATAGAAATCCCCTGCTTTTTTAAAAATTATGTAACACCAAGAAGTCATTGTCCTGTGACCTGCTTTTCTGACTTATTATTCATTTATAGGTTTACTGGCATTCAAGTGCTCACATCCTTGGAGAGGCCATGGAAAGTTATTATGGAGGCTGTTTGTGCTATGGGCCACCTATTGAGAATGGATTTTATTATGATATGTACATTGAAGACAGGTAAAATGTCACAGATGTCTGTAAACATTTTGGTTTTGACTTCAGTACTTAAGGTTTAGTTATGCTGAATCAGGTTTTTACCTGCATATTAAAAAGAAAGTAAAGTGGATCCATTTTTTTTTTTTTATTTAAAACTGACAGGTTAGTCTTCTCTTCATGGCAATTTTTGGAAGAAATAGTTATTTCTGAAGTTTATTCCTATCAGACTCCTCTTCAAGACTTACAGTTACTGAATGTTTTGTGGAAGAAAGTAGAACTTTGGGATAAAATTGTCTAAGGTGCCTAAGTCACTTAGGCGCATAAGGTTTCAGAGTGGTAGCCGTGTTAGTCTGTATCAGCAAAAAGTGCCACAAGTACTCCTCGTTCTTTAGGCGCATAAGTCCTATTTTCAAAAGTGATAGGCCCTTGAGGGCCTAAGTCTTCAATGACTTTCAATTAAACTTTATCTCTTATATCATGTTTGAAAATGGGACTTCTCTCCCAAGTTACTTAGGTGTTTACCCTTTGTCTAATCATTGTTTGCAGTTATATAGTTCCGTCTGCTTTCTATCTCTTCGCTGTGTATATATAGCCAGGCAAAACTGAGAACCTGAAATCGGCTAATAGGATGTCTCTTCAGCTGACTTGAGCCACATGTAGCTTTTCAGTGCTGGCCCATGTGTTGTTAAAAGTCAATAGTAAAGAATTTTTTTTGCTTGTGCCTTTCTACTCCTTATATGTAAAGTTGGCCTAAATGTTTTTTCTCTTTGTTTTGTTTAACCTTGGAAATGTCATGAATCTCAAGTTGTCTCCCCTATTCTTTCCTGAAGTGTCTGTTTTCTCAATCCTCATCTGGAAGGGGGATAGTGTTGAATCTTTTGCACAGAAAAAACTCTTCTTCTTCCATGTATTTGACAGGAGTTTGAGTTAAGCGTGATTTTTTTTTTTTTAAGCCTGAATAAACGTTAGGTGCTTAGGTCTCTTGGGCCTGAGAAATTGTAGTGTAGACATTTGGGCTCTGGGACCCCGTGAGGGGTAGGGTCTCAGAGCTTGGGCTCCAGCCCGAGCACGGACATCTACACAGCAATTTTTCAGCACCACAGCCTGAGCCAGCTGACCCGCGCCAGCCGTGGCCATGCTGCAAGACTCTTATCCCCATGTAGACTTATCCTAATGCACTCAGGTGCCATGAAGATGGGATCAGTAAAAATAAATAGGACAGTTATATAACAGTATATATTCTTTTGAGGCCCCAATCCTGCAAACACTTATGCATGTGTTTAACTACTACATCGAGTAGCCCATTGATTTCAATGGGACTTCTAACAATAATAAAGTTAAGCATGTACCTAAGTGTTTGCAGGACGGGGGCCTGAATGCATAGTTGTATTAAACTAAAGGAACCATTGTAGTGATTAAATCAAAGGAGTCCACTCTCCTTACAAAAAAGGAAGTAAATGAATATGGTTTCCCTATGGCATTTGAGGGTAATAAATTGTACTAGTAAACTTTTTTGTTATTAAAAATATAGTAACTTTTCTCTAATGTTTTGTTTAGAGGTGTATCTAGTACAGAATTCCCTACATTGGAGAACACTTGTAAAAATATCATAAAAGAGAAGCAGCCTTTTGAAAGACTAGAAGTCAGTAAGGAGATACTACTAGATATGTTTAAGGTAATTCTTTGGAGCTACTATAAGACTTGGAGAAATGAGCATGTAAAAATGATTTTTAAAATAGAATTTTAATTCATTTGGATAATATTATGATTTACTACTTTTTCTTTGCCCATCTGTACAATGGGTATTGATTACCAGTCTCTTGGTAGTACACCTCTACCCCGATATAACGCGGTCCTCAGGAGCCAAAAAATCTCACAGTGTTATAGGTGAGACTGTGTTATATTGGGGTAGGGAGAGGAACCGCTCCCTGCCCCAGCTCACCTCCGCTCTGCCTCCGCCTCCTCCCTGAGCGCGCCGTCGCCGCTCCGCTTCTCCCTCCCTTCCAGGCTTGCCACGCCAATCAGCTGTTTGGCCCGGCAAAGCCTGGAGGGGGGGGAAGAAGCAGAGCGGCGGCGGCGCACTCAGGGGAGGAAGCGGAGATGAGCTGGAGTGGGGAGCAGTTCCTCTGCACCCCCCATTACTTGCTGTGACCCTCCCCGGACCCCGCCCAGCTCACC